TAAGATTTAATTAAAATTTTATTTTTAATATTTTTTAAAGATTCTTTATATATTTTTTTTAAAATCTATTTTTAATATTTCTTTAGGATTATAATAATTTCTTTAAAGATTTATTTTTATATTTCTTTAAGATTTCTTGTTATTTTTCTTTGAAATTAGTTTGAAACTTTTTTTTTCTTTTATATTTTTTTTTAAATTTATTTTGGAATGATCAAAGTTTGATTAGGATAATTAAGATTTATTTCAAGTTTATTTAAGATTCTATTAGACTTGGTAGGATTGCTATTGTATTTCTACTTACTTTTGATAGTTAAATGCTTGGTGCATTTTCAAGCAAGAATACATGTAATATGACAACTTATTAATATCTTATGGAACAAGGTCACTATATATATGAAACTTATCTTATAAATTAGATATATGTCTTACAAGTTGGACACATATTAGAAGTCTTATAGAACATTGTCATATAACTATTACATAGATAGTATATATAAAAGTAAAAGTAAAGCCTTCTTCACTCTTGTCAATTCTTTATTTTCTTTTAATTTAGTTTCAAGAGTCTCTCACTTTTTAATTTTTGGCAATAGCCATTTTAGTTTTTTATTGAATATATTTATTTTCTTATTTCTTTTTTATCATCTTTCTTTGATTCATTTCTTACTTGTTTATGTATCTTCTTTGAGTTCTTATCCTTGATATGGGCAACTATTAAATTACTAATTCTTGTAGCACTCTAAAAAGCTTAAAAATTACTATGTATGGACATTAAGATAATGTTCTTACAAAAAAATCTATATAAAGAAGTATATATACTACAATCTCAAGGATTTATAGCAAAAGAAAAAAAAAATAATATGCAAGCTAAAGAAATCGTTGTATAAATTACAACAAGCTTTTAAAGTTTGGCAATTGAAAATTGATTTATATTTAATTGGAAAAGGCTTTGAAAAGAACAAAAGATACTATAACTTATTTACTATATAGTATTAAAATAAATTATTATTTTTGGTATTGTATATAGATGACTTTTAGTTCACAAGTAATTACTTATAATAGACTAAATAGTTTAAATACCAATAAGAATATAGATTCAAAATATCAGAGATGAATGATGGTAAAATCACTTTATATTTAAAAGATAAGTTTGTTTAAGTCTTAGAGGGTATTTGTTTTACACAAAAAGTCTATGCATTTGAAATTCTAAAGTAATTTTGACTTGAGTTGTATTCTTATATTTCAATATCCATAATCAAAAGGCTGAGACTAGCAATAGATGTGAGAATACATGTAATTGATTCAACCCCTTATAAGTTTTTAGTTGAAAAATTCATTTACTTATGTCACATGAGATCAAATATTCAATATGCTAGGAGTCAAATAAATAGATATATGATACATCCTTAAGAAATACTATTATAGATTGCCTAGAGAATTCTTAGATATTCAAAAGAAACTTAGAACTATAAGAACTTTTATACAAAAGATAGTTCATCTTATATAAGAAGATTTGTCAATAATAATTAATTATAGAATATTGAATAGACTTCATTAATAATTGGATTTGTATTTATTTTGGACAATGATCCAATTATATAAGTGTTGAAGAAGCAATCTAGTGTCATACTTTCATCAACAATAGCAAAGTACATGGCCATGTCCAATATATCATGTAAATCTTCTTGGCTTAAAATACTAGGTATCAATCTAGAAATTGAAGTATCAAAACAACTTATAATTAATAGTAATAATAAAACATCGGTGAAAAAGGCTACAAATTCAAAAATCACACCCAAAACCAAATATATTGTAGCATATTTTTATTATACAAGCTATAGCCTTTACTTATAAATTCTTATAAATATTATCAAAGAAATAGTACCTAAACTACAAAAGTAATGTACTAAATGACGTCAAATTTCATCCAAAAATTATTATGCTGAGTACTACTAAAATTATTCATTTTTATTTCATAATCCAACAAAAAGAAATATATTCTAAAATACAATCTTTTGTGCACAACATAAAATTTTCTTCATTTTAGACAGAGAAGTTGAAGCAAGATCAAAGTTAGAGTAGAAGTGAAGCAAGATAGAAGAACTCAAACCATTAACATCTTCTTCATTCTTTATCTCAAAGTCCACATCTTCATTATTACAAGATAATTGTTCATGTCTAAATAAACCCAAGAGCAATAATAAGAGATGAGACTTGTGAGACAATAATTTAACAAATAATTAAATGAAGAGCCACCTCTACCAACAATAAGATATTTTTTTTATATGAGAATAGTGCAAGTTGAGAGAATTACCAAATTAAAAAATCTTATAGAAAATTATATATAATATAATATTATATAAATTATTATATTATTAAGAAGTTAATTCTATATTTTCTCTTGTTTATATTTTAAGATATAAAATAATTATTTTAAAGTATTTTTTTATAATAAATTAAGAATATTTAGTTTACAATTGTGTATAATTACACTACTTATAAAAAAATAGTTTAGAAGATTTTTTGTTTAAAAAATAAAAAATAAAAAATAAAATCTAAAAATTTATAATATTTTAAATATGAGATATTTTTTAAAAAATATATTTATGATTATATGGATGTTTTTTTTTTATTAATATTATTTTTTTATTTTATTAGACCAATTTTCTTATTTTTAAGAATGAAGATTAATAGATATTGAAAATTTGACTATTTTGAATTTTGAGTTGACTTTACAAATTCATATGTTTAAAATTTAGAGTTTAAGATTTTAAGATTTAATATTATATTTATAAATTTAGGTTTAAAATTTAGATAGTAGGATTTAGAGATACAAGAGTTTTTTAGAATATTTTAACTTTTTATTTAAGTTTTGAAGTGACCTATCTCTTTCCATATTTATTTTTTATATTTATAATTCTTGTGTTGAACTTAAATTAGTCTAAAATTCTTTATTTGTAAAATTTAGAGAATTTAACTCTACATTTAGGATTAGATTTTTAATTGACTAATAATTTAATATTTTTAATTTTTTTTATTATTCATAGATAATTATTTAAGAATTTAAAATTAAATAAAAAATTAATATAATTACATTAATAATATATTTTAATTATTATAATTATAAAATAAAAAACTTGTATCAATAAAATAATAGTTATTATAGCTTACTCAAATCTAACAAATACTTTTATACGATTCAATTAATCCAACAAAAATAATCTTCTAACAAGAAAAAAAATAGAAAAATGGTAATCTATAATGTGTATATATATATGATAAATGCTTCAAGTTTACAATTGATTAACCATTATTAAAAAAAATAATAACTACTAAAATAATAATATAAGATGTAAAAATAATATAAAATATCTAATTATATAAAATATTATTAATATAAGAATATATAATATAATTAAATAAATTTATTATTTATTTAAAGGTAAAAAAGATTCTTTATAAAAACTATAAAAATCAAAATCAAAAGAGAAAAGATTGAAAACTTTTAGACACAAGTTTTGGGATTTAAAATTTGAATTTAGAAATTTAGAATGTAGAATTTATTATATAATTTGGAATTTTGTCTTTAGAAGTAAAAATATCACAATAATACCTTTCATACTACTATTTTTTGCTCGCAGACTTGTTTAAACTTTAAAAATAAAATACATACTTCATATTAGAATTTGTTTAGAATGTAGTATCTAAATTTAGAGATACATCAGTATTTTAAAGAGTTTTTGAAATATTTTTCTTAAAGTTTTGAATTAACATATCTTCTTATTTTTATTCTTTACATTTCTAATGATTTAATGAAGAATTTGAATATATATTTAGTTTAGAAACTATGAGGCTTTAAAAAAAAAAAAAAAAAAAAATCCTTTTTACATTATTATTTTGAAAAATCTAATGTTAAAGTTTGATTTATTCACACTAAAAATACAATACAACTAATTTGAAGTAATTTCTTTTTCATTAGATTTTGAAGATTTGTTTTAGAATTACATGTATTTATACTAGAGATAAAATAAACAATATAAAGACCTACATGTATGCACAATATTTAGAAATTATGATTTAATATTACAAAGATTTACTATAGGATTTTAACAAAAAAAATCTTTTAGTTTTGCATAGTGTTGTCATGGAGACACCGCAATTGAATTTCCATACTACCGAGAAAGTTATCTCCATCCACAATTCATCCATATGGATGATGTCTTCTCGGATGGACCAAGCACTGTTGCGATGAATCCAGATCCAAAAGCCAAAACGCACGCCGACTCTATTTGTTTCCTGCTTCGAGGACAACGTCCACTAGAGAATTTCGGCTCCCATGTCGATAACGGCGCCTGTCTGCGACCACCTTTATCAATGACAACCAGTTTCAAACAGTTAACAAAATACCCAAAACGTCAATCGCCGTGTCTAGACCCGGTCCGAGCAACCACAAAATCCCATCTGTGTAGTAGTAGATGCTTAGCGCTTCAATCATACTCCACGCAAACTGCCCAAGCAGAGCTCGATACCGTTTCTACGAATACGATGTGGGCCAGGCGCATGCATCACCACGCAGCCACCGGAAGAAGAACAGTTCTTCCGCAGCACACATTGCAAATCATGTAGAAAGCGATTCGGGTCCCTCCCGCTATAGCTGACTTCGGGTGGAAATCGAGCCTTCCGATGCTACTGGGTCAAACGAGAGGTATTTCATTCGGCCCCGGGCCGGGCTGGCCCCGTAACAAAGCCCGTCGTCTTGTTCCTCCGGTTTGGAGCCTTCCATCTTCGGACCAAGTCCTCGCTGCAATCTCATCTATCTACCGCGTAGCCGACATCCAATTTCCAGGGTATATCCCATAATTTTCAATTAATGTATGGATGAATAAAGTTCATTTCGCACCGTATTCTGGCGATGACGACTGCACTCTTGTAGGCGTCGGAATGAAAGCATGGAGGCTTCGCGAATTGCAGGGAGCCAGCTGGGTGCCCAGATGGGACCACAAGGAGCGCAGACACAAGCGGCGTTATTTCTGTGTTGGACTTCACTGGCTCCATCTTGGGTCCATCGGGGGATTAGGTTCACTCTCCTGGCTTCGCTCGTTCCTTCTGTCAATCCATTTGCTGCTGGAAGATGGGCTAGTTTGTGTAATGTGGTTGTTGTGCTCAAGGTTTGGTTGTAGAAAGGGCCAAAGCATTGTCGAGACGGTCGATTCACGAGATGCAATTTGTAATCTGCAAAAGTGAATTAGTAGCGAAGGGGGGATGTGGGTAATCTGTTCGGGGCAAATTGAGGTTGTCGCGAGGGTATGGGCGTGATCGTGTTTGTTGAGACGTGCCTCGGGGTTTAGTGAGGCTGCTTTGAGGTGTAGTGTTGGTTTTGGCTAGGTTGAGATTGTACTGAGATTTTTGTTGGGTGTGTGGTGTTGAGAGTGCTGCGGGAGATTGAGGGTGGAAATTTTCTCGATAAGGGTGGGGATGCATTCGATGTGAAGACGGTCTGAGCCGCTTTGCGGATCGGGCAATTGTTGAGGAGGAATTGTTTGATTCTGTCGTCGATGCTACCCGTCGTATTCTGTGTCTGAAGGAATGGTTAATGTCTCGTATGAGTTTATGTCTCTTTTGTAGTTCACCTGCGTCTAACAGCACCTTGATTGTACGTTGCAAGATTGAGTAGATCACAAGCTGTATCTCATTCTAAGCTCCGGGGAGCAGCTTTGCATTCTGTCTACGAAATTTCGACAGGGTTCAATAGAAGTTGATAGACGAGGTGGAGCTCCACTTTCTACCATCTGGTGCTGGGTACCACGATGGAGCTCAAGTACTTGTGTATAGGATTCGCGTGAAAGACGGGGGCCTTGATGAGTTTGGTGGACTCACACCCAGTGCCATCGCCACTGGCAGTACTTGCAGGATGCGTGCGAGGTCCGTCAGGATTTAAAAAATCATAACCGATATTCTTGTTTGAAACTGCGAGCTTATTTGGTCAACCAGTGGGAGGTAGGACAAAATTTCGCCTAGGTATGGAATTAGCAAAGTGCCTTAAATTTCTAACAGACCTCCTAGAACTGGATCACTCTCAGAACGTGGACGTCCTTTTTGAGAATGCGGCTGCGGGCGGGAATCTCTGTAATTCCGCGGCGTGAAAACGAAATATTGTTTCACGTGTGAATGCTGCTTGAATCTTTGCGGAAGCTGCATTTGAATTTCCACTTCTGGGGTGGAGGGTACTGAGCTTAAGATGTGAGTAGAAACTCTGCAGATTGCAGCAAGGATCTCGTATATGGGATTGTCTCATGTTGCTTGGAGAAGAAAGTTTTAGGATCACATTCATTGAGACAAGCTGGAGCGGGTACAGAGAAGGAGGTGGGCGGTCTGGATGCACCGAGCCAACAAGAAAATGTTCGAACCTGGGTGGCATCCCCAAGGCCTGCGAGTGAAGAGAGGCATACTCGTAGGACGCAGAGCTAGCCCCACCACGCCCGTGCCTAGTTGGAAGGTGTTTGACAACCAGCTTTACGATGGCATTGCAGCTGCGGGTACAGCGCGAGCTGCAATTCGGAGAGCAACCCCTGTTTCAGCTCGAAAACTCGCGGCCTCCTTGTGGGAGCTCCAAGATCATCCTCTTCCTGCCTGTCTCTGCAGCCAGCATTGGCTGAAAGGGATCTCCGACAATTCAAGTCCTCGTTCGCAGGCAGATTCTTACTTCTCTCCTCGCAGTTGCAAGTTTGCCTACCAGCAATACGTGAAGGTTAGTCTGCCCTTATTCTTCAGACTTGTAGATCACTGTATATGGATTCGTATGTAGACTCCTGGTAGCTGTATTTCTTCAGTATGGCTAGCCGGAATATGGAGTAAAACTATGTGGTTGAATTTGGTTGGATGGGAACAGACAGGGGCAGAGAATGATAAACGCGGTGAGGATTTCGGGAAGCATTTGGCTGCCATGAGTATGCATGTTCATCACTCCGAGAAGGGTGAGAAACCTGATTATCATGTGACATATGCACCCATACAGGTGGGTCAATGTCTTTTTCTTTGCTTGGGGCATGGTGACCACTTTTTTATTTGCTGAATCTTGAATCGTAGATGCTATGTCGTTTAGTAATGTCTTTTGGCTCGACCACATGGCTGGTGACTTAATATGAATGACCGTCAGTACCTCTTTACAGCATTGTGGCTTGTTAAACTTATGTTTTCCTCATTTATCACTTCAGATCGAAGGTCAGAGTCACCAGTTTTCTCCGGCTTACTCGAACTGCTCCAGTCATAGGAAATGTAACAGAAAGGCTGTGGATGATTCGACGACTACCTCAAGTGAGCTCCTGAAAGTCTTGAGCCGCATACGCATTCTAGAAGAGCAGCACAACTCTAGCTTAAGTTTGACAAGTACGCTACGGGCAGAATTAGAGCAAGCTCGTGCTCGGGTACATGATCTGGAGAAGACGCAGAAAGCGGCTCGGAGGGAGGTAGAAAGCATCATGAAGAAGATGATAGATGTGAAAGCAAGCTGGAAAGTCAAGGAGCAGGAAAAGATGCAAGAGAAGATAGCCATTGGTGTGCAAGCTGTGAAGGATGAGTTGGAGGACGAGCGAAAGGTGAGACACAGGCTTGAAATTTCGAATCTGAGGATGACAAAAGAACTGGTGGAGGTCAAGATGGCTGCTGGTAAAGCGCTTGAACAGCTTGAGAACGAACGCAGAACAAGGCAGCTAATGGAAGATGTCTGCGATGAGTTGGCTCGCGAAATTGGGCAAGGCAAACTTGAAAAGGAAGAATTCATACGGCAGTCTGAGAGAGTTCGGGACGAGCTTGAGGAAGAGCGACGCATGCTGCAATTAGCCGAGGTCTGGCGGGAAGAACGTGTACAGATGAAGCTCATCGAAGCCAAAGTGGCGCTTGAGGAAAAAGGCGCAGCTCTAGACTTCATGCGGGGAGAGCTGGAAGCTTTCTTGAGATGTCAAAAGGGAAATGGTCGAAACCCTGCCTTGAAGGAAGCTCAGGTCTTACGCAATGTCATCACTGCTATGCATCCGAGTAGACTAATCGCATCTTTTCCCTCAATCGCACTCAACCAGGAACCCTCATCCGACAATGATGTGTACACGGTGAATCTGAGCGCTGAGGATCAATTGACTAGTGATGAAGCATTGGAAGATAGATACAGAGGAAATCTCCTAGACTCGCAGGATACCGCCAACAGGTGGGAGGACAGCGAGGGCGACATGGTTGAAGCGAACTATGATGCGAGAATCTTCTCATCCGCAAATGTTCATGTTCGCAGGCGGAACTCGCACAAATGGCATGCCGAGGGCACAAACGAAGGGGAGTCTGACTTTGTAAGCGAGTCTCATGACTCTGAGAAAGAAGATACACACGAGGTTGCTTGTGAGGAGTTCCCCTGGAACGGTTACTATGAGGATGACCTTCGACTTGGCAACGATGGCATTGTTCACGCTCCAGATCCTCAAGACAGCGTCGACGAGTACTCGCTTACCGTTGAGGTACCTGATCTTGTCTTTCTTCTCCTCACACCTTAACTCTGAAATCAGTACGTGTGCGTTGTGCGAATTTTGTAACGACCGGCATTAGGATCGATAACCGCACGAACTCTTAACTCTTCGGCGTTTCTGTGGACAGGATATAGAGGCACTGAGCAGGCCCAATGGACACCACGTAGAAGTGGTTTGGGGAGAAGGGGCCTTCGATGATGTCCAAGCTAATTGCTTTGCATTGCGGCGAGATGACGACGCTCTCGACCAGCATCACTCGTCCAAGCGTCTCCTGAATGAGCACGTGAATCATCTCATGTCTGATTCTTCTCCTCATCAAAAGCCACAACAGTTGCAGTCGCCTGATAAAGCAAGCAATACACACATTATTCGAGGGATGAAAGGGCATATGAAGTGGCCCAGGAACATCGACGTGGTTATGCGATCCAAACTTTTGGAGTCGAACCTTGAGAGGCAACAGCTCCGTCACAGATAGTGACATAATGGGTGTTACTTTTATATTGCTACTGTATACTGATTATATACCACATTTACCCAGATGTTTCAGTTCAGAAATTCAGTTCAGATGTCGCTGAATCAAAACGCTTGCAGGAAGTGCACAAGCACGACAGCATGCATGAGTGCTCCGTCAACAGAAACCCTGGAGATCCATCGAACTCGGCTGTTTCTGGGTTAAGCATTGGCGGTTATTGAATTCTTGTAAAGCTCACCATTCTTGATGGCAAGAGTTTTTAAGGTTGGTCTGCAATTGAGAATGCTAGGGAGCCAGCAACAATTTGTACACAAACAATGTAATACAATCAATATTTTCAATTCGATAATTACCAAACTCATAGGATGACCCAGCAATCTTTCGGCGTGGTGCGAAGAGTAGAAGTGTTTCTGCAACTAATATGCAATGTAGCTACCCGATGCTTTCAAATCATATGCTCATGCAGCACCGCACTACCTTCCAAAGGAATTGGCTTGGCTTGTACTCCCGGTTCAAGTTCTCTACTGAGTTGCGAAAGCTCTACCCCATTCACAAAAAGCACGAAGGGATGATTCCTACAGTTGATTTGTAAGAAATACTGGTTGCAAGCCGCTGCAGACATTGTCTTTGTTAAACATGATTTTCAGGCTACTAAATTACGGCAGGGTTGTGGAGATCGTCCATTGAGCTCGTCTTCCCTTCCGAGTGCCACGAATACCAGGGTTCGGGTTTCAATTTTGCTGCTTCTTGTCGGTGCATTCTTGAGTGAGCTGAGTTTGCCTCAGAATGTGCAAGAGTATGTCACGCCATGCTAACCCAGCTCAGTCTCATTGGATAGACTTCCAAAACGATCCTGTCACTATATGCACAATGAGACCAGACTCAAGTCTCCAAGGAGGAAGCAGAAGCAATGGCTTGCGACGCAGGTGTATGTATAACATCAGTTCCACATTATAATGCGTCGCAAGATTGCAACTTTACGGATGCGTATCTCAGTCTCTATAGCAGGGACACCTAGTTGTTTTTTTCTCGTAGTAATTGGTATACAATGTGAGGGGTAGTCACCATGGGCTGGCAACCACGGTGATGGTAACAAGCAGTTACATTCCTCTCCCGCTCTCTCTCTCGTTTTAATGTACCATCCATGCATGTTTGCTTTGAAACCGTCAAGTTTCAGGATGGTGAATGCATGTAACTTGCCTGAAACTTGATGGTTTCAAAGCAGTGAAACTAGTCAGCGAGAGTACCGTTAATCTACAGAGGAGCCTAATTCCATGATCAGAATGGCCTGATCCCTTCTAATGACAAGAATGTTATCTCCTTTCACTTATTTTAGAATTAATAGATATACCAAAGGAGTGCATGTTCATGTGTATGATATTTATGTGGTTTGTGATGTTAATCTTTAACAATATTAGAAGCCAGAATAAAATAAAAAAAATTTCTTATTTCCAACAACACTTATTATGACACATTTTTTTAGTAAGATTTTTTTATAATTATATAAGTTTAGAATCATTTTTTTTAGAATTCTTAGTAGTAAACGTTAAAGTATATCAAAAGCCCTTTGCAGAATTCTTAGAATAATAATAGCAACAAGATGGTCTATGACACACATTATGTACAAATGTTAGCAATCATGTATGTTTATGATCTTGGTTATGCTTGTATTCCTAGCTAAACTATGCCTTCAATTGTATTTTCTTAAAGTTAAATTAATCTATTCACTGTTCTTTAGTTTTTTTTTTTTTTATTTATTTTTTATCTTTGCATTGATATTAGGGTGTTGTAAAATAAGTTTTATTTGATTTCAATTTTCTTTTAATATGATTTTGATTTTGATGTATTATATTCATATTGTTTATTTTTTTCTTCTTTAACTGTTCCAATATTGTTCTTTTTATTGCTTGTCTATAACTTTATTTTATTAATATTTTTAACTTAAAAAACATCACTTTATTTTTTTATAGATTAGTGTTGTTATTGATACTTTATTATTTTTAATAAAATTAATATTTTGATGTTTTTTTGGATTTTTTTGGAGTTTTATATATATAATTTTTACATTTTATATAAAATAATTGTGCTCTTATTCCAATTTAATTTTATTATTACCTTTAAAAAACTTTAAAAGAAGAACATTAAAAATATGTATTTTTAATTTTTTAAGCAAAAAGTTCAATGTTGGCTGATTTTAACTATAAATTTAACCTTGTATTAAAATTAATGCTATGTATTAGAATTCTTTAATTATTTTAAAAAAATACAGAATTTTATTTTTAAATAAGTAATTTTTAAATTAATTGTGGTTTTTTCAATAATTTAAATATTATAAATTTTATTAGTTCAATATTATCTATTATTATCTAAAATCATGTAGCAAAGTAATTTTTAATTTATTATTACATATTTATAAATACATGCACTTTTTAAAAATTAAATCTAATAAACATTAAGTTGACATCTATGATATAATTCAAAAGATGTATGTTTTTTTATAAATTTAATTTTATAGAATTCTAGTATTATTTTTCAAATAAATTACTCTATTCATTTAGTATCTATTTTTTAAATTTTTTATTTATTAATGTAGTTTATTATATGATTCTATTTTTTTTCTTAGTAATTAGATATAACAATATTTTTTATTTATCAAACAACTAATTTATATATATAGAGAGATATTTTATTTTTATAATTAAAAAATATATATTATAAATTATTTTTAAAAAAAGATAAATAATTTATTATTTAAAAATAAATATTATTATAACTTAGATTTAAATAATATTATTATATATATTTTTAGTAATTTTATTTTTAAATTATTTAATTTTATTTTATTTATATACTTATTACAAAGTTTGATATTAAGTTTAGTGTTTACATAGTCAATTAATCCTCCAAGAACAAATAACCTTGTAATAAGCAATTAAAATTTACAGAACCAACTTTATTCTATAGTATATATTTAATAACCTTTGATTTATAATAATTAATTAATTTCAATGCCATGTCTCAAATTGCAAAAGGTATGATCTAATACTTGGCAACATCTTGTTCAATATTATTGAAGAAAATATTATGAATATGATTGTTGAAAATATAGTTGTGAAAGTTATTAATTTTAGAATATCTAAGATTGAAGTTGGAAGCGAATCAAAAGCTACATAAAATAATAATGTTTATTTTATTGCAAGATACATGGTTCCTAAGGTATTGAAGAATCAAATTCAAAGAATGACAATATATCTATTTGAAGCAAATGTTTATTCATTTGCAATGGTATGTTTTAAGATTCTTCCTAAATAGATGTATTTTATGATTTTTAGAAGACAAAAGAAATATTAGAAAGAATAGAAAAAGCTAGTAAACCATGCTTGCCTTCAAATTATCATGAATTAATTGAAATAATTCAAGAAAATTGGAACTTGAATTCTATGCAATAGCCAAACTTTGCAAATATTTGTGAAAGATTGATTAATGCAAAGAATAAGTTTTTACTTGAACTTATTATAGAAAAAAGATAGTATTTTTGTGCATTAAGAAATTTTTAAAATTAAAATAAAAAATTAGAACAAATACATAATAAGTTTCTATTTATTAAATTTGTATTAAATAATAAAATAAAATTTGATAAAAATAATTGATTTATTTTATTTTATTTTATTTTATTTTATTTTTATACATATATTTACATGTTATGGTAATGGTTACATGACTCAATATTAATAAAAATTTATAAAACTAGATTGGAATGTAATATATGAATTATAAAATTTATTTTTATTTTTTATTTTTTATTTTTTTATGATTTTATTTCGAATTATTAATTAGTATAATTAAAGAAAAAATATTTTTTAGAAGAAAATATTTATTACAAATATTTTAACAATATAAAAGTAATGTGAAGGAATTGTATCTTATTGGAATGGGTAGAATAAGCAACACCACAATTAGAAAGGTTATATCTCATAATATGAAGCACATATATGATGCCTCATATTTTGTTAATTATGTTAAAAGTAGTAGTGATTGTTATAAAATCTCATGCCATATATATTAAAGGATTTGAAGGAAGCTTAAAAAATGTTAAAATTATTCTTTATAAAAATAAAATAAAAATCATCCTAGTCTTTGATAATGTAAAAACTCAAAGTCAAATTGAAAATGTTTAGGCTATAGATGATTTAATTTCTAGCAATGGGAGCATATTAATTATGAAAATTTAATATTAAAATGCTATAGAGCATTTTGACATATAAATATGTAATGTAAATATTAAAGAACTTGATGAAGAAACGACTTTTAATTTTTTTTTTATTACTTATTCTTATAGATACCAAGATAAGTTGTCAAATGAACTTGTTGAAGTTGATAAAAAATTGTAAAAGCTTGTAATAGTCTACCACTAAGTTTAAAAGTTATAGGTGCATTTTGAAGAGAAAAAAAAAAAGAAGTTGAAATATTTAAAATAAGCTCTACAAAGTTGAAAAGGAGAAGAAAGTTTAATAGAAATGAAATAAACAGTGACCACAAGATTTGGAATATATTAAGAATAAGTTTTGACAACTTCAAATTTGAAAAAAAGAATATGTTCTTAGATATATGTTGTTTCTTTTTTCTTATGTATATCTTCATGGCATGTTGAAAGAAAAATAATTGTAAATATGGACTAACAATAAAGAAAAGATATTAAAATAAGATGTGGAATTTACATTGGATACATTAGGAAATAAATTATTAAAAAAATTAGACAAAGTTGGAATTATAAGAATGTATAAAAAACTATAAGACATGGATAGAAAGCTAATTGAAATTAAAATAAAGTTTAAAAAGACAAACATATGAAACATGATTGTAGAGCCATTTCATGAAATTCCAAAAAATAATAATAATAAACTTAATTGTCATCCAAATTATTAATATAAAAGTTATAATAATTCCAAAATAAAATAAAAAAAAAAAATGATAAGATTGAGAATGGTTTTAATTTTGCTTCTATATATGCTAGTTAATAAAAGTAAAAAAAATCTTTATAGAAACTTTCTAAAGACTATAAAGTTTGTAAGTCAAGTATCCAAGTTGTACAATATTTATATAATAGCCTTTTGGATATAAAGTAAATTACTATTTTCACATAATATATTTAAAGTTTTACCATAATTCTTTATTTAAATTTTTAAGAGAGTTTTAAAAATAAATTATTAAAAATATTTAATAAATTCTTATTTTCTTTCTAAAAATATTTGATGAATGTGAAATATTAAAGTTTTTCAAAAAAAAATAGTAGAATAATAGAAGCAAGAACCAATCTATTACATAAAATAACTTAGGTATAAGCTAAAGAGAAAAAAAAAA